GGAAGAGATGGACCAATTGCATGGGCCTCCTCGATCACCTCACCTAAAGTGCGAAACATTTAAGTTGAACAGCGCGGCATCGGTACGGGGGGTATGGCTTCAGTTGAATTTATCCGTAAATTGCCCAGTGGTTTGCATTGGCCCGCATTCCTTTCGCTGTTCAATTTAAATGTGTCGAATATTATCCATTTTAGATTTTGTATGCGGTATGGTTAAGAATAAGGTTTACAAAAAAGCTTATGAATTAAGAGCCACTTCGAGTGCCTAAGTGGCGGTACGAGAGAAGTTTAAGTCGACCGGTCCTTCTGTGTGAAATAGGTAGTAATTCAATTTTAAAAAGGTGCAACTCAAAACAAAGACGGATTTTTTGAACATTTCTAAAATAACTTAAAGTGTGTGTAGTGATATTATTTTTTAAGTTTTAGTTTGTGTAATGTAAATTGTAAAGAACCGTTTAATACTATTTTCTGACTTTTTATAAGTGATAAATCATAACAGAATAAGGGTATCATGCAATCTAAGTGAAATTAGTCAAGAAAGATAAGAATTGGCTATAACTAAATTCAACTTTTATAACATGTCTTGAAAACCGTTCTCTAAAAAACGTAACATTCACCTGTCAACGTATCCTCGAAAATGTATGGTCAAGATTTCTTCATTTGAAAAATTCGTATTTACAATTTTTATTTATTTTAATCTACAAAGTTTGGATGTGACAGCTTCACATTTCGGAGAGCAAAGACGATTAAACTTGTTTCCATGACTAAGTGAAATTGTTAAAAAATTATAAGAATTGGCTATAACTCAGTAATTTTTCAAAAAAAAACATATTATAGCTTATATCGCTGAAAAGCTTAAAAAATGGCGCTTTTTATGAAGTCATGGCCAACTATGGTTTCCATTTAAAAAAACATATGTTTGTGTCATATGTCAAAAATGGCAAGCTTTAGAAAAAAACGGAGGATACAATCTCATTAAGGATGTGATTATCTACAACTTTTATCTGAAAACGTTTAGTCTAAAATGGATTATAATGGAATGAGGGACAATTTTTAAAATAGCCAAAATTTGTTCTTTTCGAAATATCTAGTAAGCCATGAACTTTTTGAAATATCTGCAGGGCGCATATTATTTATGATCCCACTAAACTTATTCTTTCCCCATTTCACCGACTCTCTATCTCCAGTAGTTTCCGAGATACCCATAGAGAACATCGTAGGAAAGTCACCCTGTTTTAATACATAGTACTTATTTGTATATTTAAAAAATAATAAGTTTATAAACTTGTGACGTTTAGGACTTGCAGTTACAGCTTTAAAAATAAACAGTCTTTTACTTTAGATATTTTATTGAAAAATAAACTTAAAATCATATAAAACATCATATAAAATATACAGGGTTGTTCACCACATACGACACGGAGTATTGTAGCTAAACGATTAGATTTTTACAAATTGTAAGTTTTGGGTTCGTTGAAGGACTATTAGAGATAAAATTTGTGTGTCCCAAATATGTAAAAAATATTATAGTTGAATTTTTTAAATGGAACTCCCTGTATATTATTCTATTTTTAGATTCTACGATTAAAATAAAGGTAAATTTGATTAAGTTTTATCACACTTAAACCTTACCGTTTTTGCAATATTTTCAATTTTATGAAATTGCAGTAAAAATATTAAGGCTTCATTTCTCCAAGGGTACCAAAAATACTGAATATTTACTGAAGATTATTTATTGATCAGATATTGTGTTGCAATAATAAATATTTTACTACCTTATACAGAGTGTCCAAAAATTTATATTAAATAATGACTAGCTTTAAACGGCAATGAATTTAAATGGAGCACCCTATATATTTTACGTGAATCAGATGCACAATGTAATTGTCTATCAAATTGTATTATACCATTTTTTACCCATCTCTTTAAGTTTTCGTAGAAAATGCATTTTCTTATAATTTAAACCTCATTTATCACTATATCCATGGAATATAGACATTTTAGATTATTTTTAAAGATGTAACAAATTTTCAAAAAGTGCGGATACTAATATTGTCGCTTATTTCATTAAAAAAAATTAATTTTATTTGTCTTGTTATGAGCTTTCGAAAAATATATCCTATACTTGTTTCCATAAACAAGATACATTAATTAATTAAATTTATGACATAGGCGGCTGATTTACATGAGATAATGAAAACAATCGAGTCGACGTAAAATTTTGGTTATTGTCTATTCTACGCTAGTTTCTGTGTGTGAAATTACGTATAGGACAAGTTCATAAAAATATCAATATCTCTGACTGACAGCGCGTTATCTGCGAGTGTGAGTGCAGTTTATTAAGATAACATGACGAAGAGCAAAATTCTCTGGTTCAATTAAATTAAATAAAATAATAATACTCTTAAAATAGGTTGATTTATGTTAAAAAGTTAAATAATGCATTAAAAAATACAAATATTCTATTTAAAAACTGCAATTATACATTGAAATAAATTATATCCACATAATGATAATTGTTATATAAAAAACCATATTAACTTACAATAATGGGCTAATATTGTATATGCAGCTAACTTAGTAATATTTTTTTAGTTATTAAAGAAGAAGGAAGAATTATCGGAATTACCATTTTTTTTAATTTTCCGGTGTATTGCTTTCATCAGAATGGAGAAAAAAAGAACACAAGGAACATATGAAAGCCTAAAGTCCCAATTTGCAAACTGTTGCTTTCTTTATTGATTTATTGAACGAAGAGTTATAGGGGTTGAGCCACTTTTGAGACGCACCCGGTACAGCATTCTATTTGAAAAAGTTAAACTTCAACCTGGAAATAACTCTGTTAAAATGACACTATAGATTAACATTTTTTTATTAATTTAGGCTACTATTGCTAACCAATTTTTGTAAAAAAATAAAATAAAATTATTAAATACACAAATAGAAAACCTGCTAAAAAGTTTAATGAAAACAGTGAGTCATTCTGCAATAGTTATAAGAAATGTTTAGAAATAAGTTTTTTTTCAACTGCTTACTATAATTGTAAATTTAAAATATAAATTTAAAATTTTACTACTTTACAGTTGAGGGCTGGTGTTACAACAGCAAGATAAAACACTAATTCACCACAAAACACTTTATTTTTGTCATCATGTATTTTAATCATCTTCTGATGATGCTAATATGGTTAGCGAAACACGCGTTTAGTACAAAAATAAAGTGTTTTGGTATATTGTGGTGAATTAGTGTTTTATTTTGCAATTTTACTACTATTGAAAAATGAGATATTTTGATATCACATGAGTCATAAAAATCATCAAAATACATTAAATAAATATTACTTATATAATTTAAGTAGCAAAGAGTAAAAATTAAAGATACGGCAACAACGCCGGGCTTCCCGCTACCGCGCAACATGACGCCCGGCCGATATACGCCGTCAAAACAAGAAAATATTCCAGCCGAATTAAATTCGTCGCACGTCCGCCCCCTTGCCGCGCCAACCCAGACTACCGGGCTTCGACGTGTCCGCGTGATGTAGGGGGCTGCGTATTGGTGGCGTTGCATGTATATATATATATATATATATATATATATATATATATATATATATATATATATATATAAAAGAACTAAAATCATATATTTATTAAAATATATCTAAGTGTTTATACATAAATATCTGAATAAAACTGAATAAAATACCCATCTTTAAAAAGACGTGAAGCGCGCTGAATATTTCTAAAGAATTACTGTCGCATATGATAAACGTCAAACGACTCTGAGTTAAAAAAAGAAGCCATCATCGGTTAAAAACATGCAAGTATTATTTAATGCATGTGAAAAATAAAGAGACAAACAGTTTTAAAGAGTATATATACATCCTATAGATTACCATGTATAAATAGCTACGAACCGTTTTAAGTAAAACTTATTATATCGAAATATGCATATCTTTAGCAAAACTATTTAGTATGAAAATTGCGACCGGTAATTTCCTGCATTATACAACGTTGCCGGAATGTTCACAATATTATTTATCCCTCTTCGAACGATATTAATAGGCGTGGAATATCTTTTTTAAATGCCGCGAATATGTTTCTTTAATAAAATGAGCGGAATATACGAGGTCGCAACAGATAATAGCGGCATCGGCTTTCAGGAATTCGGATCGATTCGTTCGTATACCGTATGATCGAAAACAAAAACGGCGTCAAAGGGGAATGGAAATCAGTGATAATTTTGGAGAGGTCAATCTCTAGAAGTCATCTATACTAATACATAAAATCCTTAAGAGACTGACTCACTGATTAATCACGATCCTGCTCAAACCACTCAACGTAAGAAGCTCAATTTTGGCATACAGGTTGATTCTAGGGTGTTGAGGTTCGATAAGAATGGATTTTTCGAAATTCCAGTTCCAAGGGGGTGAAACCACCCCTCAAATATTACAATATTTGTTATTTAAAAAACGGTTAGTCTTTCGGGAAAACGCTTGGACACGCATAATTTATTTTGTTTTTTTACATATTTTGAATTTTGTTTAAAAATCATACAGGGTGTTCCAAAAAGTTGGGTAATTGATTAACCACGATTCTGCTTAAACTGCTTGACGTTAAAAGCTTATTTTTGGCAAACGGATTTTTCGAAAGTCAAATTCCAACGAGATGAAACTACTCCTCAAATATTACCAAGTTATATAATAATATCGCCACATTGTTTTATCTCATGCTGACATAAATGTGAGAAAATTTTATCAAGTTTGTATGTTAATGGAAATTCTTGCTTTGCTTTATTATCACCATTACAAATTATTAATTCGATGCGAACGAAGCCGCGGGTACACGCTAGTTAGTATATAAAATTGTATATACATAATATGTTATGATTGTTTACTGCCTTAATTGATAAATATAACAGTAGAATTGCTTGATGAGCAATGCTCGTAATATCATCTTTCATATATTATATTAATTATTAACAAAAAATATATTGTTACAGGTGCCTTAACCAAATCCCAATTTCCGGTGTTCACGATCTACGCCCAGAAAACATGCTTGGGCGTGAAGCCTTGTGAAAGAGCTTGGTGCATAGACAGGGTGCAAAACTATCGACTCAACGGACACGTCAAAAGTCAACAGGCAGTGGCGTCCAGGCAGGAATGTCTGGAATTGTGTTTGGGAGAGACAGAATTCGCATGCAGGTTAGTGAAAAAAAAATGTTTGTTTGATAACAAATACATGTTAGGTACATTAGATAGTTACAAATAAACATTTTACAAAAATAAGAAAAAACAAAGAAGAAATATGACCGAAAAAAAAAGGAAATTTGTAAACCTACTTTCAATTGATTAAAAATATAATCCGAATTAGAATTATATAGTCTGAAAAGAAAGAGAATTACATTTTGCTAACATACCGGAATAAAATAAGACTGATTTTATTTTGATTATCGGACATGAACATTTTACTTCTAACTTTTCCACCAAAAATAGGGTGTATAGGGTGTCCTCATTTATTAGGGGGATTCCCATTCCTCTACACTTAAGCATCCATTTTTCTAGTGCTTGTTGCAGATATATTTTGAATAGTATAGGAGATATGCAACATCCCTGCTTGAGGCCTTTTGTAATTTTTATGCTTCCTGACAATGGTTAAAGTACTATTTTATCCACTATTTTTGATAGATATTAAAATTATATTATTTTATATATTTTATTTAATAGTTTTATGTTCAAAACTAAAAGCTAACATAACTAAAATTCTTCTAGCCATCTGCATGTTGTTTATTGATTACAAATTTGGGGCTGTATGAATTGTTATTGTTTATGAATTTGCACGGACACAGATAGATAGAGATAACGACAGAGAGAGGAGTAGGTAGGTACAGTGACCAGATGTACCGTATAGGCGGGAACAGCAACATTTTGGACGCCGGAGCCTCGGTTACAACATCGCGGTATTTCTCTGGAACGGTCCCTATTGTCACGCGACTAATGTAGAACTGGTATTTCCATCACTACTCTCTGCACATCCCCGGTAGCAATTACTCCTCCCGCAACTCGATCTTGACTAATTGCCAATATAAACCCTCCTCGATAGACACATCAATTATAATATGGCCATGTAAGATAACCAATCAACGCGATTTTGCTATAGCCGTGTTCAATTAAACCATGGATAAGAATGTTTAATATTAAATCCTTTGGATCGCGCGCCTCTTCTGCGTTTACGATTATCAGAGCCGTTTTAGTGCGTTTCCTGATGCGTTGATGGCCAATAGGTGTCGCTGGATTGTTTCGAAAGATTTACAGAGCGAATCAAGAGGAATCGAAAAAAAAGGAGTAAATAAAGCAGTAAAATTCGGAACAATAAACGAGTGATCAACTTTAACTGTGATTTTATTGGTTTTGAATTGTTTGGCTTTCCCTGGTCGTCCAAAATAAACAACATAGTTACACCATTTATCTAAATTTTTAACGACTTCGCAGATATCTGGGGTATTATATCATATACAGGGTGGTCCGAACTGTATTCCGGAAACTTCGGCAGCATATTCCGCAGATAAAAATAAGTAAAGAAGTTCCTATAAATGTATGTCCTAAATTGTTTAGTTTCGGAGATACAGGGTGTAGAAGTTTCATTTTTATTTCGATTTTTTCCAAATAATTTCTAAAGCAACGTCAATATTTGGATGAAAATAGGTGTCAGGCAGTTTTTTGACATGAGAAATTTGATTTTGGTGTCAATAAGACTCCTAACTTGTAGAGGACGCCACCTACATATTTTCTAACTGGTTTGAAGAGTAATAACTTTTCGTCCGAACCTGTATAAAACTACCGAGTAAAAAAATATACATTTACGACGTTTTTTACGTAAAAAAGGTCTCTTGATAAAAATCGCTACGAGTAATGGTTCTCTAGATATTTTGAATCAAAATTATCAATACCTGTCGTCATTGACATAAACATGTTGACTAAATAGTTATTAGACTGAAGTCATAAATTTCAAATATTTTAGTGCCAAAAGTTCAACAGAAACTGTTTTATCATCATTTTTTCTAAGAAAAAATTATGATTAATTTAAAAAAATGAAGTCAAAGAACTATCTACTCGACATGTTTATTTTTTGCCAATAATAACATGTATTCACTATTTCCATTCTAAATATGTATGTTTTTCGCCCAGTAGTTTTATACAGGTACGGAAGAAAAGTTATTACTCTTCAAAACAACTAAAACAATGTAGGTAGCGCACTCTACATGTAGGAGTCATATTGATGTCAAAATCAAGTTTATCATGTCAAAAAAGGCCTAGACAGCAATTTCTATCTAATTATTGACGTTACTTTAGAAATTATTTGGAAAAAATCGAAATAAAAATAAAACTTCTACACCCTGTATCTCCGAAACTAAGCATTATAGGACATACATTTATACGAACTTTCTTACTTATTTTTATCTGCAGAATATGCTGCCGAAGTTTCCGGAATACAGTTCGGACCACCCTGTATATGCCTCTTTCAACAATAATTTTTTTATTAAAGCCACCTAATAATTTTTTGAAACAAAAAAAAATTAATGGAATGATAGCATGCACTTATTTTTAATCATACCATATTATTTCCGAGCTCTAATCTACATAATTTGGAGCACCTTGTATAATGATAATAATAATAATCTTGAATATTTTAAACACGCAGGCATCCAACGTCCTCCTTTTACGGAACACTTAGTTACGTAAGGACGTTCTTTTTTCCACTGGTTTTCTGCAAAACTCGCCAAGAATTCTAGCAACATCCTGTATTAGTTTATCGTTTAACCGTTAAATAGACTTACCGTAGTACGTACGCGCTTGTGCATTTCGAAGGCTGATATTTTCTAACTCAGAGTAAGAAAAAATAATTTTTTGGAAGATTTCTTTTTATATATGGTAATCGCAAAACAATTTCCGATGCACGTGATCAACTTTGAGTGACAAGCGATGGCGACAGCGCTGCCAGATTGTGATGGATTTATGAGATGAATCTTAATTTGAAAGTGGTGTAATATGCTTGTCAATCAAACTGACTTCTCTGACTGCAGTCAAGGGTAATAGAGGAACTTTATTGTCACGTTCTCGCTCAAAATAGTTTATCAGGGAAGCTACCAGCTCTTTGCTTCGACTATTTAAATGCTTCGGCATATTTTCAACACACAATTTCAAGAAATGCATGAAAATGTTTTGCGATTACAATAGTAGTTCCATTAGTACCTATTCTACGTCTACGAATTTTGGCTTTGGAAAGTAATGGGTAATAGGTGGGTTTAAGCCTTATAATGCCAGATAAGAAATTTGTTAAAGATTCTGTGTTCTGTACTTCATGTCTATGATGAATCGTGTTTGTAACAAACAGAATTAATGAAAAAATAATAAGAAAGTCACGACCATTCAAGTTTTTGATATTGAATTGGTTGCTTGAAATCAATTCCTTTAGTGTAAAAACCATGAAAATTATACGATTCTGCTTTTTAACGGAAATAATTAAAATCGTAACATTTATAAGTCTCTTAAATGTCATTTTTATCAAATAATGAACCTAGTTTTTATGCTCTTTCGGTCAATTAGTAGAACTGGTCGAGTTTTTTTAATAACTCCATTATTGATAACTTATTGAATAAAATATAACTAGTAGTTACGAAGTTATGACTTTTTTTTAGGAAAAAAATAGTAGTTTGTATTTGAAAATAGGAGTATCACAAGGAAAGTTGCAAGCATTTGTATTGTTTACTTGAGTCAAGTATTTTCTATATACCTACGCTCAGATGCCAAAAAAACGCAACGGAAAATTTTTTCGTCAAATTTAAAGTGTTATATTTTTTTTATTTTTATCCCTATTTTCATGAATTTTTTAACACACTCTGTATAAATCTATCAACTTTAATTCATAAACTCAGTTTTGTATAAATTGCACTGCATAGTTTTGTTTTGGCATGTTTTCTATGTGAACTAGATCTGAAGGCCGTTGTTCTCGATACTATTCGTTCGGTCTCTATAATTATAACGCATAACCAATCAGAACGAGCCAAAAAACGACATAAAACGATAGAAATACAACTATTTCTCGTAACAGTTCCACGATTCAATGGTCCAATTGTTCCGATATGTTGGAAACCGATCGAGTATATACAGGATGCTCCAAATTGATAGAAAATGGTTAAAATGTAAATATGTTTCGTTTTTTGTAATCAAATTTTTGCTAATCTGACGAAACAAAAAAAAATGTAATAATACAGGGTGCTACAAATTCGGGGTACGAACATTGGTATCTCGGTAACCGAAATATGGATACGAACATGGTTAAATTGGAGCAAAGTTGCCGCTTTGGGATGTTCATCAAGATGCCACCAAAAAAGTTTTAAAAATTTCAAGGATTGCTGAATTTGTAGCACCCTGTATATGTAAAGTGTTTTAGTGCAGTAAATTGGTGTTTTACTTTGCTGTTGTAACACCAAAGGTTCCATCCCCCAACTAGGAACCTTTATTTATCGTTTTTAAATCAATTTTCATCGTACATCTCCGTTTTTCAACTATCGGAAGAGTAGTACTTCAGTTTGGTTTGCCCCTGGGTACTCATTAACTCCGGCACCGAGTATAACAGTAGTTTGATGTATTATCTTGGAGAGTTTGACTGGCGCGAAGATGGAGATAAGTAACTGTCCGATTTCACACAATACACGTGTAATTATTTCCGAATAGCGCCGGGCAGCAGAATGCGAGCGTGGGGCAATTTGTTTGGGGATGGTGCCCGGAGGGGTACTGGTACTAAGTCGAGGTACCACTCGAGGGGACGCGCCAGTACTTAGAAACGATATATCTGACGAAGAGCTGCCAGCAGCCAGCGAGTGATTCATTTGTTATGCTTGTTAGAACGAAAAAAGAAGAATTATCGCCGTGTTGTTATTGTGGTTTAGTGTTCTTGGGAATATGTCGAGTTTCACCACTAAAACAAACATTTAAATTTAATATCCATTATGATAAGAGGTCTTTATTACATACTGTATCGTAAAATACAATTTACATATACAAGGTGTTTTAGTAAGAGAAAAAAGTTAGTGGCGCACATACTTTTTTAGAAAAATATTTCAGTGATAACCCGTATGCACGTCCCTGGTGAATATGCCGACACTTTTTTAGCATAAAAATATGTCGCACTTATAGGAACT